TGGAACTGATATGGATTTATTAGAGTAAATAGGAAATCTGATTCAATCATGGGATTGTTGGGCAACATGCACCAAATAAAACAAAACCTAAACAAATAAAGAGACCTTCCTCAGCCTCTTGGTCATACATGACTTTAGTCTCCTCCAGTGCGCTGGAGCAAATGGATCCTGCCTGTCCCGTTGTGTAGCGGGCATTTTAAAGAACAAGGAACTGCATAAAAACAGACTCTGAGACCCTTAGCAGCTGCATTGGTGGTTTCTAGGGCTCCTCATGAGAGGGCTCTTTGAGCCCAGTGGGTGATTATGGTCCCAACAGCTTGTAAATCCAGTGAACATATGGTTGGGTAGTAGCATGTTAAGCTCTCATGTACTTTACCCTGCACGGTTGATCCATTAGGTGGAGCACGTTTCCCTTTCAGCAACACTGCAAAACTATGGCTTCAAGGCTTCAACTGCATCAGGACTGGTCTCTTGGCTCCATGTGATTATGTTTTCATGTTCTCATGCCTACGTAGCATTTTATGGTGTTGCACAACACAACTACCTCTGAAAACTTGAAGAGTGAAAACACTGAAATACCTGGATATTAGACGCTACCATATTGATGATGCAGTTGTACTGTGAGAGGTGTTCTTAATCTGCTGTGTCCCATTAGTCCAGATTTCTAAATTTACAGATTAACTCTAGCAGTAGGACATATGAAGAGGGTTCCTTTTTTTTTTTTTTAAGAAAACAACTGGTAAACCCCTTAGTACGGTTTATGCTTTCAGGAAGCAACTTTTATTGCTTTGAGATCTTCATATCAGTGTGGTCTATTCATTTATAGCTCATTCTTGACCTCTTTTAGCAAATACCCTAGGGAAACATTACACTTTGAGAAATGCCAGCAAAAACGTGAATCAAAATTCTTATAAATGTTTAATGCTTCTTGACCTAGTGATGCTTCTTTGTAGAATTTATCCTAAGGAATTAAACAGATGTGCCAAAGATTTATTTTTTAAAATTTTATTTTGAGACAGAGAGCAGGGGAGGGGCAGATAGGGAGAGAGAGAGAATCCCAAGCAGGCTCCATGCTGTCAGTGCGGAGCCTGACATGGGGCTCAGTCTCATGAACCAGGAGGTCCTGACCTGAGCCAAAATCAAGACACGGGTACTCGACCGACTGAACCACCCAGGCGCCCTAGACGTGTCAAAGATTTATACACAAAGGTATTTATAGTGGTATTAAAACAGTGAGACATTGGAAATAACAAATGTACAACTATAGGGAAATGGTTAAAACATTATATACTCATGATGAAATAACATGAAACCGTTACAAATCATGTTTTTGAAGAAAACTTTATGACAAAGGAAAATATGCACAATATAAAGTGAAGAAAACAGATGAAGAATAACAGTGATCATCTCTGGATGGTACAATTATGGGTACATTTATGATTTTATGTATTTAAAATTTTTTCTGAAATGAACAAAAATTGTTTTTATAATCAGAAAAGAACCTCATTGATACATCATTATAGATCTCTGAAAGAAATCCCAGCAAACCTGGGGCAATTTCAGCACCTAGCTCTCAAAAAATGTTTGTGGAGTAGGTAGATAGATGGACAAATGAATGAATGAAGGACAGTTGACACTTGTAAGTACCATTACTGAGTTTATATGACTGCTGAAATAAAAAATGAAGGTTTGTTATTAAAAGGAGAAAATTCCAGACCAGTCAGCAGTTTGAAGGATGGCATGGGAGTTACTGAAGGAGTCACAAAATAAATGAGTGGCTGATGGCAGCCAAGGAGTTGTAGTCTGGCCTTGGGTCCATTGCTGCTCTTGTTGCCCAGCTATCAACACCATGTTTCCTCTTGTTCTATGTGTGTCTTTGAAGTATCTCTTGTGCCTGCTGTTTTCATTGGTCTCTATTCAGTTTGACCAATGACTGAGCAAGTATGAATGACATCAAAGTCACAAGTTCATTTTCCATTTGAACCACTAAATACTTTTCCATATGAGGAGAAGATATACTAAGGCTAACTCTGGCTGGCCAACTCTCAGACTTGGACTTATTAGACAAGCAGGAGAGTTTGGTAGATAAGGGCAACCTGCCTCTAACACTTGTGACACCATTCACAATTCCCCTATACAGAGGGCTGTGTGTTCTTATGTTCTTGTGAGTAGTCCTCTCTGAAACATTTGTGCTATGAATAATGTTAGCTACCCAAAGAATTAGTAGAACACTTAGTCATGTCACAGTTTTTATAACAAATTCACAAGCTCTTTATGGAAATTATAAATGGGACCGATTGATCTACATTCTGTCCTACACGGTGTTAATTTCTTTTGGCTATTTTGATCAAATTGCTGAACAGGATCTGGCTTCTCTGCAAGGCCATCAGGAGACACCATTGGATGTATGAATGAAATCTAAATGTTTCCTCTTCAGTGCATGCCCGTATCTGTGCCAGAGCCTGTGTCAAAGAAAGCCATTAGACTTTTTGCATATTATTCTGTATCTCTGCTCTTGGTGGCTTATTAAACACAGTGTTCTTAATTGCGGTTACTCTTAAACCCAAATGTATGATAATAGGGCCTTGTTTGTATTTGCTGTCCCTTGATCCTGAGATTTACTGTTTGTCTCTTTCAACCTGAGTTGTCTCTCACCACTTGTTTTCAGAAACATTCATGGGTTGAGGAATTCACAGTTTGGAGCCTAACTGTCTTTGTCCTGGAGGCCATTATGTCTACAGATATGACAGACTCCTTTAAATTGGCCAGCCGGATATTTTATTCTTTAGGATTTTTAAGTATGAGGAAGAGAACATTATTTGAGCACTAACCATGTGCTGTCATTTACTAGACGTTTTCCTATACATTATTTGAGCTAATCCTTTTGATAACAATATAAGGTAGGCATTATTACCCCAGTTTTACAAATGAGGAAGCTGTTGCTTTGACAGTTAAACAACTGAATGGTAATTTGGACACTGGTCTATTGGACTTCAAAGTTTGTGATTTCCACTGAATATACTGCCTCCCAGTAATAGCAGAGTTTTTTTAGACTGAGCCTAACACCACAGCATTCACTTAGCTTCTCCTCAGTTCCTTTTTCCTATAATTTTCATTCCACTTTGCTTGTGTTACCTTGGCAAGATCAGTCCTTTGCAGCAAGGCCAGGAAGTTAAGCTTTGGACCACCACTAAGGAGGGCATTGATTTGATCCTGCTTCCCATTTTGTCCCCAAACCCCGTCACTGTTTGTGTTTTACGTAGCTCCCAGTAACTCATAACCCAATCCAAGAGGGTGCCTATTGCTGGCATAAGTGGTACTTGCTGCGTGCTCAGCACTTCAAGGCACTTGGGGTTCCATCATTCACTTGAGAGCCAAAAAGTTCTTCAGTTGTAGGAACATAAAGCCTGCTCTGGTGAAGGCAAGCATGGTCCTCCTCTGGGCCACTGTGGTAAACAGAGAAGCTGCACAAAATAGTCTAGCAAAGGAGGGTTGGTGTGTATTAGAATAGATCAGCGAGAAACAGGCCATTTGTGCTGAAGGTAGAGGGTGAAAATAGGAAGAAGGGAATTTTCAAGTGTATAGAAGTGGAAAGGGATGAACATTCACCTCCAAACAACTGAGGAATACAAGCTGGGAGGTAGTCTAAGACTGAAGGGAAATTAAAACCCAAGTGCAAAAAAAAAAAAAAAAAAAATTTTTATAAAAAAAAAATAAATAAATAAAAGGGGCGCCTGGGTGGCGCAGTCGGTTGAGTGTCCGACTTCAGCCAGGTCACGATCTTGCGGTCCGTGAGTTCGAGCCCCGCGTCAGGCTCTGGGCTGATGGCTCGGAGACTGGAGCCTGTTTCCGATTCTGTGTCTCCCTCTCTCTCTGCCCCTCCCCCGTTCATGCTCTGTCTCTCTCTGTTCCAAAAATAAATAAACGTTGAAAAAAAAAATTAAAAAAAAAAATAATAAATAAATTTATAAAACCCAAGTGCAAAACATCATGGTGTGGCGCCATCCTGTGGAGAGGAGGACAGCCGGATTCCATCCTGGTTTGGAACATTTTAGTTTCAGATGTGAATGAAAAAGTTCATGGGCCTCTTGGAATTAGCCTTTACACATTGGACTCAAATGCATCCTCAGGCCATCATTTTAGAGATATCAAAGGGTTAACCTTCCATGGTTGTTTTGGCACCAAATTAAAATTTAATCCATACTGTATTGGTTTCTTCTTGCCTTCTTTGGTTGTCCACTCAGCAGCTTTCTAGGGAGTTAATCTAGTTTGGGACCTCAAGAGACAAATTTCTAAGAATCCTCTGTGGAGACCAGGAGATTGAGGAAAGGGTTACAAGAAAGCTCAGGAAGACTGAGCATAATTCCTGGGTTTCTTTCCCAGTCTGTTCTCGAATTTCTGCTGCCAGTGTTGCCCAGAGGGAGGCTGGCCATAATTCCTGGCTGCCAACAGCCATTTTTTTTGTACCCACAGAAAGCAAGATGAGACACCTGTTCCTCAGCTGGTCTCCTGGGACATGTTGGAGGTATCCCCTTATGTGACTGAGTTTCTTAGGAAAATGCAGATTTAAGAGTGTTTAAGAGCTTGGCAGTGCCTTTCTTGGTACCTAACACTTTTTCCACCTCCTTCACTTCTAGGGTCTCAGAATTTGTGGTTCAGCATTCTCATCAAGTAGCTACAAGTGACCATAAGCCAACTGAGGGGAAGGGGCACCACAGAGTTAGTGGTAGAATGGGAGGGGTCGTAGCAGAAATAACCACAAGATTGGCTATTTCCAAAGAAACAGTATTTTGAACTCCATGAAGTGCGAGAGAAGACAAGCTGTAGAATCTAATTCAGGTTCCTACATTTTAGGCAAACTCACTACTTAAAATGTCTGATTTACATCAGGGAGGGCAGGACTCCTCACTTTACCAAAGCCATCACTATAGTAAAGAGTTGAGGGGAACAACCTCATGTCTCTAGTGCTGTGCTGTCCAATATGGTAGCTACTAGCCATATGTGGCTGTTGAGCATTTGAAATATGGCTAGTTTGGATTTAGAGGTTCTGAAAGGTAAAACACACACCAGATGCAAAGATTTAGCATGAAAAAAACAGTGCAGTAATTTTTATATTGATTACATATTGAAAATATGTTTTAGATATACTGGGTTAAAGGAAACATTAACATTGCCTTTTTTAAACCTTTTAAATGTGGTTACTAGAACATTTAAAATTATATGTGACCTGCATTATATTTATGTTGGATACTGCTGCTGTAGTGTATTCAAGAATAGGATTTGATTTTTTAGCATTATTTCAGTAGTACATTTCTTTCTACCTACCTGTACAGGAGAGACAGATTAATTGCAAAAGAAGCATAGGGAGGAATGGAGATTTGGAAATGAGGAAATTGGTTATAGAAGAAAGTCAGCACCCTACCTCAGTTCCTCTCAGTCTGGGGTGGGGCAGTCAACTGTCTGAAGCAAGCACTTTCATTCCCCTAGCTTTGATTTCCTAGTTGGGGCCCAGAGAGGAGAGGGAGAAGTCACTTTGAAACTTCTCTGCCCTTACCATCTTCGCCATGAAGCTGTGAGTGGGAGATAGTGGTGATAGGACAGGAACTTTCCCTGGGCCCCTCTGGGCCACCATCCCTGGCTGAGAGAAGAAGAAGGAATGAGGTGAGCCCTTTCTTCACTCCCAGGGCCATCTGGTAGAGCTGCTGCCGCACCTCCTTCTGCCAGTAGGCATAGATGAGTGGGTTGAGCAGGGAGTTGCCCACACCGAGCAGCCACAGGTACCGTTCCAGCACCAGGTAGAGGTAGCACTTCTGGCAGGCCACCTGCACAATGCCAGTGATAAGGAATGGGGTCCAGGACAGAGTGAAGCTCCCAATGAGAACAGCCACAGTGCGGACAGCCTTGAAGTCGCTGGGAATCCGAGGAGGCCGGTATGCTCCGGCCATGGCTCCTGCTTGTTCCATCTTTCGGATCTGCTGGCTGTGCATGGAGGCAATCTTGAGCATATCACAGTAGAAGAAGACAAAGAGGAGCAGGGCTGGGAAGAAGCCAACGCAGGAGAGGGTCAGCACAAAGCGTGGGTGAAACACAGCGAAGAAGCTGCAGGGACCCTGGTAGGTAGTCTGCTGAAATATGGGGACTCCAAGTGGGAGGAAGCCAATAAGGTAAGACACCAACCACAGCCCGGCAATGCAGGACCCAGCCATGAGCCCGTTCATTATCTGGAAGTAGCGGAGGGGCTGCTTGATGGCAAGGTACCTGTCAAAGGCAATCAGCATGACTGTGAGGACAGAGGCAGCTGCGGAAGAAGTAACAAATGCCATCCGAAGGCTGCATAGGGTCTTCTGTGTGGGCCGAGGTGGGCTGGAGAGCTGGTCTGTGACTAGGCCAGAGATGGCCACACCAAGCAAGGTGTCGGCTACAGCCAGATTCAAGGTGAAGCAGAGACCAACACCATCATTCTTGTGGATCAGCAACAGCACAGCCACAGCCACTAGTGCATTGGCAGCAATAATGAGGGAGGCCAGGACAGCAAGAGTCACTCCAAATGGAAAAGATGACTCCATGTCTTGAAGTGGCAGGATTTCCACTTACCAGGGCATTCTGGCTCTCCAGCTCAAATTCTCACGGGCTGGGAGAGAAAGGGCTGGGTTCAGAGGGGCATCAGAGATCTGGCCACGACAGGCAGCTTGCCATCTTTCAGATCCTGCTGATCACTGAGAATCACTCACCCTTTCTCTTTCAGTCCTCAGCCTATTGCCTCTCCAGCTCTCTGAAGGCAGCAATCCCTGTGTAGCCCTCCCCCTGGCCGCTGTGCTAGTCCCTCCCCCTCCAACTACCAAGTTACTAGACAACTCCCAAGTACCTGTGCATACTGTCTCGCCAGGCTCTCTTCCTCCATTGATGCTTCAAGGACTTTCTTTGGAGGGCCTGGGGCATTCATCTGATCTCCTGTCTGGCAGAAGATATAATTGACTCTAATCACACTTTTTCTTCCTCCATAGCTTGATATTAAACTCCTTCTTTTCCCAAGCTTCAAGTACTAGCTTAACAACTGATCTCAGCTTAATTAAGTATTTGCTTAATAACAAATTCTCAGTTACTACTATTACTTCTTTCAATCAAGCAAGATGATCATAATCAGTTGAAGTGGGAAGTGAGGGCGGGCAGACTATTTCAAGGCCCAGCATACTTTCAGGGGAGCTACCACGCATTTAAGCTATTTATCTTTTGCTTCCTAACACCTCAGAGTCTAATTCTCTAAAATAGGCGGTGCCATCCCCCTCTTTTTCATCCCTCAGATCTTGGCTGATTCAGAAAGGCAGGAAAATGAAAGCAGGTAATTGTTAACAGTTGTTAATTCAGTTTCGACCAGAACCCACTCCCTGTCTAAAACTTCTGTTTGTTGGGTATACTCACTGAAAACGTGTCTCTGGTCAGAAGTCGTGGTTGCCAGCCTTGCCTTTCTTGATCCTGTAGCCCCGAGGTCTCTCTGGGACAGGAGAAGAGGAGGCGAGCTGCATTCTGGAAAGTGCTGTAATATTTGGTTGTGGAATTTTCCATTTCCACTGTGGATCATGTTAGGCTGAAGGGTGGCAGTGTTGCCGAGGCAGGTGAGATGGGCTCAGGCAGGGCCACCGCTGTGTAGGTCACTCCTATTTTAAGTTGTATATCCATTTGTTCGGGTACATTAGAACCAACCTTTTGCCTGGTACTCTTGGATACCAAGAAGAGAGGGGTGGGGAGAAGAGTGGTTTGAAGCTTATTTACTCAGTTCAGGTGAGAGCACAAATGGGAAAGGTTAGTGTTTTAAGTGAGGGAGTGGAGAGCAAGGTGCAGAGTTGGAGGCAAATATTATATCCAGGATGTTTTGACAGTCGGAGAGGGCTGTTGACAGAGGTCTCTCCTACAAATGATCACAAAGGCTGTGGCATGGGGACTTGGTACTCCAGCTGCCAGTCTGAGAACAGTTCTTATGCTTTGGTACCTCCATTAGGAAGCTGACTTCAGGTTGCTTAGTACCTGGCCTGATTTTATGCCTGGATCTAAGGTGTGCTCTAGTTTCCCTAGCTCTTTTCTAGGAGTCAATATGGTCCTTTTGAAGCCCATGCTCAAACTTGAGAGTGCATCAGAACCCTTTGGAAGGCTTGTTAACACACAGATTCTTGAGCCTCACCCTGAGTTTTAGATTATTTATGTCTGGGGTGGGCCTGAGAATCTGCATTTCTAACAAGTTCCCAGGTGATGCTGATTCAGGGACCCCATTTGAGAACCAGTGCTCTAGTGAAATGGTTCTTTTTTTTTTTTTTTTTTTTTTTTTTGAAATGGTTCTTAACCTTAGCCATGCTGTGGAGTTACTTGGTGACCAAAAATACTGATGTTTTGGGTCACACACCAAGAGATTCTGATACCATTAGTTTGGGGTGTGACCTATGCATCCGGAGTTTTGAAAGCTCCTCATGTGATTATAATAGTCAGCCAGGGGTGAGAACCACTGTTCGTTGGCAGAAACACAGGCTCTGGAGTCAGGACACTATCTCTGTGATTTTGCTTGGACAAATGAATTCACCTCTCTGACTCAGCTGTGGCTTCCTCGTGTGTTCCATGGGGACAATAATTCCTATGTCACAAGGTTGTGGGGATGACAGAACGAGGTATGATGGATATTAAAAGGCTTCATGAACTATAAAATATTACACAGGTACTTTTATCGAGTGTCTTCTAGTCTCTTGTTAATCAAAGTGTGTATCAGATCAGGAGCATTGGTAGGACCTGTGAGCTTGGTAGAAATGCACAATCTTAGGCCCTTCCCAAGACCTCCTGAAGCAGAGTGCGCATTGGAACAAGATCTCCAGGTGATCTGTATGCACATTAAAGGTGTCCTTTCCCAGCACCTAGTCTCGGGTGCCTGGTTATGTTGGTTTACTTTTGCTGCTGTAGCAAACTGCTACAAGCTTAGTGGCTTAAACAACATAGATGCATTATTTTACCCTTCTTGAGGTCAGAAGTCCGAAACAGGTTTCACAGGGCTCCAATTAAGGCGTTATCAGGGCTGGGTTCCTTTGGGAGGCTCTAGGGGACAATAATTTCCTTGCCTTTTTCAGCTTTTAGAGGCTGCCTGCATTCCTTGGCTCATGACACATCATTCCAACCTCTGCTTCTGTAGTCACATCTTCTCTGACTCTGACCCTCCTGCCTCCCTCTTTTAAGGACTCTTGTGATTATATTGAGTCTACCTGGATAATCAATGATATCCTCCCCATGTCACATTTTCAAAGTGCTTTTTGCTGTGTAAGGTAAAATATTCACAGGTTCTGGGGATTAGGACATGCACGTCTTTGGAGGGGGGCATTTTTCTGCCTACCATACCAGTGTTCTCTGCTGCCCACATCTTCTCCCTCCATCCCCCAAAGATGCTCTTCTCAGTGTAATCTTCCTTTTTTCATGTCATAGACATTTATTTCTTTTACCCATCAACACTCTCTTGTTTTCTGTCTTATCTCCTTAGGCATCCACAAGCTGATTTAAACTAATATAGGAAGCTTTGGAAAAGAGTGGGCTCCCTGTCACTGGAAATATGCAAGCAGAGCCTGAATGCTCACCTGTCGGGAAGGCCTTAGAGATAATTCCTGCAGCAGTGCAAAACATCTGCAAAACATCGTTATTCCCGTTGCGTTGTCTTTCAGTCCCTATGCAACCTATTATTGATGGGCCCCTGGGAGTCTTCCGTTCCTCAGCTCCCTCCCTTCTTTCTTAGTTGTCCCCACCTCTGTGTCCTCCTTGGCTTTTTCTGTCCCCTTTCTCACACTACCACACAGACTCAGCTGTGTGTCCTTTGGCTTTGCCCATGCTGTGAGGTCAAGACCACAGAGAATGTGGTTCCTTCCTGGAAGGCCAGTGGTTAGTCCTTATGGTCCTAAGTCTGAGGGTTCTCAGAGTCTCCAGAGTGGAGCATTGATTGACAAGGTAAACAAGTTGGGGTTGACAAAGGGGAGGAAGGTAAAGGACGAGAGGGCTTATTCTCTGGCCAAACTATCCCATAACCAAAGCATTAAATGCTAGTTGTAGTGGGCTAAGGATGCAGTGGGGTGCTTTGTACACCCTGAGGGCATGGAACCAAGGACCAGAGGTTTCAACTGGAATGAGTGTGGAGGAGAAGCCAGGCTTCAAAAGAGCCTGCCTTTGGAGCCAGGCCCCTGGGAGAGGAGCTCTAGGAAGATATCCAAGACAAGTGATGCCTGATTACTTGTAGTGCCTAGACCAGCCATCTGCCTGTATGATTTAGCTGCGTCTTGCCCAGGGATAAAAGCAGCAGTGACATTTAATATCCCTCTGTGAATGACTAGACCATACATCCATTGCTGTTAAATATTATGCAGTGGTGTGAAAAGAATGGGATAGGCTTATATGTCCTGATGCAGCCCTCCAAGGCTTATTGTTGACTGATAAATCAAGTGACACATCAGTATGTAGCATCTGGACCCACTTACAAAAGTAAAATCCCAAACCCCAGCTTTATGTGTGTATAGGTGCACAGAGATCACCATAAATACATGTTAACAGAGAGTGAATAGCTTTAAGGAGAGGAGTGAGAAGCCGGGATGGAAAGCGACTGTCACAATTTACTTGGAATACTGACTTGTTATGTATTTTCACAGTGAGGATGTGTTCATGTAATTTCAAAAGAAAGGGGCGCCTGGTTAAGCATCCGACTTGAGCTCAGGTCACGATCTCACAGTTTTGTGAGTTTGAGCCCCACATTGGGGTCTGCACTGACAGTGTGGAGCCTGTTTGGCATTCTCTCTCTCTCTCTCTCTCTCTCTCTCTCTCTCTCTCTCTCTCTTTCCCCCCCTCTCTTTCTGTCAATAAATAAATAAGTAAATAAATAAATAAATAAATAAACAAACTTAAAATAAAACCTCCTCAATAACAACCCCCTTCTCCCCATTTCAGCTCAGGCACCACTTTGCAAAGGCCCTTTGCAGACCACAGCCAAATGCCTCTGTGCACACATGTACATTATGTATATACATAGTTATACACTTGCTTTTGCTTACACTTTGTTACCTGCCAGTGCTACAGTTGTAGAAAGAGGGTGTGTGTGTGTGTGTGTGGTGAGAAATGGCAGGGCAAAATGGGGTGGGTGGAGCAGTATTTGAGGCTTTAGTCCCTTTTTACAGTGGGAGGCACTTTGAAGAAACAGCCCTAGACTTCTGGGGCTTCTGAGCCGCCGTGCAACAATGATACCAGCTAATATTTATGGGGCCTTTAAAATGCTGAGTACCGTGCTAAATGTACAACATATTCTTTAATCCTTACAAAAATTCTATAAGGTAGGTACTATTAATATTCCAATTTTACAGATGGGCAAACCAAGGCATGCAGAGGGTGACTTATTTGTCCAAGGCCACACAGCTCATATAAGCAGCAGGTGTTGGAAATTCTCAGGCCAGAAGCTTGTGTGGAACAGCCACCAAGAATTTGTCCTCTTATCAACCATAGAGACCACCCCCCCCCCGTTTTGTTTTGCCAGTTTGTGACTCTGTGCCTTTGCACATCTTATTACCTCGACCTTAATGCTGACACTTTTATGCTTTGGGTTTTTTCACAGGTGCTTGAGCTCAAATTAAATAGAAGACCCTTCCCCCTTGTTGGGTCACTAAAGCCCAG